GCCCCCCCCCCCTTCCTTCTCCACCACTCTCTCTCCCTACCACTCCCTCCCCCCTCCATCACTCTCCCCCACTCCCTCCCCCCTCCCTTTAACACTCAATGTAGTAGAATAGATTTATGTAGTTCTATCAAATACACTGTGATTCTCCCTATTCAAGTCTTAATATCATAAAGAATTCCTAGAAGTTATGAGCATAAGGTCTGAGTTGATTAAGTCACATGACATCTAGCTAAGCTTGGAATTTTCCATAATATACTCTAGGCTCCAAAATATGTGTTTTAGGCCATTCCTGTCCATTCCTGTGCCATTCCTGTCCATTCCTGTGGATTCCAGTGGATTCCTGTGCCATTCCTGTGGATTCCAGTGGAATGGCTCCATTCCTGCAGGAATCAGTGGGGCATGATGAAGTACTGCACCAGTCTGCCAAATTGGGAAGATGCCTGTTTTGGCCACAAGTTATAGATAGCCCAAACTTGTAAACAATGTAGCTCAGTCATTTCTCCACCAATTTACAAGAGGAAAAGTGCACCAGAATTGTATAGATATTCTCTATTCAAATGTATAAGAATATGCAGTATATTTCACTTTGGTGGCTATGCAGCACCTATTGGCCCAAGGTTGTCTCTCAAGCTATAGAGCTTCACAATGGATAGGATTTGGGCTTAGGTTTGCAGAGACGAAATCATCGATTACTATGTGGCCCCAATCCTACAGGTTCAGAAATTTAATTACTAGCCTTTAACCATGTTAAAGTACCGATCTTCGAGGGTATCTCAGCATAGGGGTCACAAATAAAATTTCTGGACCCGTAGATCGACTGGAATTTAAATTTTAAGTAAAGTCTGTCTGCAAATCATGTTCATACGTGCTGTTGTTGAAAAGTTATATTCCAATCTCTTCAGACTGCCTGATTTGGCAGGGAAAACAGACTGATTTCGCATTTTTGGAGCAATAAATGCAATTTCTACATGGAAAACTCTCTGAATGGATTCATTCACTTAGTTCAGTCAATCCCATTGCAAAAAATATATTGAATTGGTGTTGTAGAGAGTACAAGGTCAGTGTCTCAAGAAATTGGGCCTGTGACACTCTGTCACAGCATGTCACTGGTCATCACACATACCAAGGATTGTGCACCACCAGTTCCAAAGCTGCTCGAGGATCAATAGGATTGGGACAGCCTCATCGATTGTGTCTGGCACCATCGCAGTCTCTGCCTGGAGTGCAAGGGGGGAAAGGGAGCCATCAAGCCATTCTCCATCAAGATTACTTACACCTCCAGACCTGCCAGGAGGGAGTCAAGCTCCAAAAAGGTGTTATTATGTGTCCTGATGTTATGTTTGTAGGATTCAAAGAAGGCCCCTGATGCTGGGTTGAAGGGGAAGGATGGAGATGCCCCAGTGAAGGAACATGAGCTCCTACGCCAACTTGAGAAGTGTCACATGTGTGCAGCTTGTGGTCGTCCCTGCTATATTCTTTCGAACGGTGACCACCATCAGTATACGGTGCAGGAGATGTTAACATGGGTATTTTTGTTGGTCTGTCATATATACCTTCTTCTTCCCCACCATTCTCATTATCATCTCAGAGTCGACACCAAGCTGTCCTTGAGAGGCCACTGGAAGAGCTCAAACTGGAAGATGTTCCCATGCATCAGAAGAAGAAAGCTGCGACCATGGCTGCCACCCCTGCACCTCCAGCTGTTGACCTCTCCATGCAGATGATGAATATGATGGGTACATTCATGGCTTCCCTTGCTGGCAACATGGCTATGGGTCAAGTACCTAATCAACTCCCTATGACTCCTGCTTGTCAACCTCTTGCTGCAGTTCCAAATACTGTTCCCATCACACCCACACCTCCAACCCCAGCAGCTGGAGCTCCTTCTACTGCTACTACAGCCCCTGCTGGTGAGGAAGCTCTATATAATCCAGATCTTGAGACTTGGATGTGTGGTCTTGATGATCACACCGTTCATGGTTCATTGAAGCTCAACTATAACCAGCACACACCTGCCCTTCGTGCGGAGGGTATTCTTCAGTTAAGTGATTTATACAATCTCTGTGATGTGGAGAATAATGTCATTGTGCTTCATGACCTCTCAGGTGGCTCTCTCAACTATGGGACTGCAAAACGCCTCCTTGTATATGTGGAGGAAGATTACTGACCATCTAAATGTGCACACCTCTCTTAATTCACTTTCTTTAATACCTTTTTTTGGTTCTTGTCATCCACATTTAATTTTCATATCATTGGGTGATACCACTATATCACCTCCCTCTCCTTAATCCGTCACCATGATGTTCTTGCATAACCTTTCCATATATTTCTTATCCCTTCACCTTCTTAATCCATTGCCGTAATGTTTTTGCATAACCTTTCCAGATATCATTTACCACTTTACCTCCCTAATCCGTCACCATGATGTTCTCATATAACCTTTCCAGATATTGCTTAAACCCCAACTTCATGTAAATATCCTTTATCTTGCATGTGCCACTCTTTTTTGATAAAATAAAATTTGCCTTTTATATTATACATATCCACAATGATGATAGAACCCATAAGCATCATCCTCCGTGACTGAAAATGCTGCCTCCAGTAAATGAAGATAGACATAAGTATCATCTCCATCCATTGTCAAGTCTTCTCGCAGAAGCACACCTGATCAATGAACAAAGGCCTTGATACCTGAGAAAGCAAGTTCAATAGGGTTATAATCTGGAGAGTAAGGTGGTAAAAACATGTACTGCATACCACTGTTGCAAACAATATTAGTTCAAGCTTGTAAAATTGGATTCATTGACTTACCACTCCTCAATGAGGTCAAGTATGTGTGGATCCTTGTGGATGCATGCATTATCCATGACAATAACAGAATTTTGGAGTGGGAATGGTTGCATCTTGTCAAGTAAGCCCTCAATAAACTCATAAAATAGGCTTGCTGTAAATGATCCTTCAACAATCTTGATGTGGATCATGCCATTGATTGATAAAGCTGGAAGGAGAGAGTAGCTAGTTATGTCAGCCAAGAAATGACCACATTCAAGACTGGTAGTACATACTGGCAACCACAAACAAAAAAGCAGTGCTTACTAGCACACTCACCATGCAAAGCCCAGGCTCAGGTACAGATGGATGTTCGGCAATCAAAAGAGCTCTCATCGACAAAAACAGTTTGCTCTGCTGTAAACTGCAGACCATAATTGTAGCAGAACTCAGCATGCTTGGCTTCACTATGTTCAATTGCCTCACGATGAGCTATGTCATTGATGTGGTGAAGTTGGTTGATAGGAAGATAAATGACAAACACACCTTTTTCATAGAATATCCTGATCGCTTCAAAGCTGTCCAAATACATGACAAACTGGCAATAACACCCCTCCTCCTTTCCAAAAAATCCTGCAGTTCATTGAGGTAGATATCTGGTGTGTGTTGGACCATTCCCTGGAGAAACTAGGTAAAAAGATAGTGATCAGATCTATAAAGATCACAGACTCAAGAGACCACAGAGTACTAACCCTTACATCTGTCCTTGTCAAAACCCTCTTCCTGCCTCATAACTCCCTGATCGGCCATGCTGGCATAGTCCGGTGCTGTTGCAGAACACATTGTACAGTGTGTTTCTTGCATCCAGTGTATGCAATGATTTCCTCCAGTGAACAGGATCGGAACATGTATACCAGTGATTTTCTCAAATCATCTGAAAGCCACTTTCCACAGGTCATTATGAGTGTCAAGATCAGTAGAGTGGGTGATTGTGCAAGTCAAAAGCAGTTGTATCCAAATTTGGACAGGTGTTGATGGATGGATACTTGTCCATCATGATACAGCACCACTGCGGGTTTTTAACCCTGGGGTGACCTAGCTACTTACTCTATGATTCCAATGCAGTAAAAATCGTACTTTTCTGTTGAGTATGCAAAGAGAAATCAATGCAGCAGTTAGCTGCCCAATTTGGACATGGATGACAGGGTGTCATCACTTATAGTGCAGTTGCAAAGCCAGTACATACTTTTACACAAAATAAATTATGGGGTGACCTAGGTGCACACTATTCGATTCTAACGCACCCAAAATTGTAGCTTTACATTAGGTATTGGTGGAGAAATCCTTGCAGCAGTCTCGGCACTGTCCCTACCTAGCCTTCAGCAGCAATATGATGTAGATTTCGTTTTCTTATAAAATAAATTATGGGGCGACCTAGAGCTCGCCAGGACGATTCCAAAACACTATAAATTATGTCTCTACGCTAAGTATTTACAGAGAAAATCATGTTTGAAGATTCACGGTGATTTGAGACTTTGTTGTGACGTGATTGCGGCCATGCCAACTATTTCGAAAACAGCAATAATTAAAATGCCCTTTCTTGGCTTGTCTTTTCATTACGGAGGTTGGAAGACACTCTGAGGATGTTTTCAAATGTCTTTCTTAATTGTCAGGAGGTTCTCATTATATGTCATATAATAGAATGTGTCTTTTTCCCATGTTGTGGAGGGGAGAGGCGAAGGGGCCTCAGATGCATCAGTCTTTGATGCATATGCAGGAATTTCTGTACATGACTTTCTGAATGGCTGCAAGCCACACTAAGCCTCCGTATGTTTACTACTTAGGTGTAGTTTAGCCTTTCGATGATCTGGACATGCCATTAGGCATCCATGTCATCTTTCTGTATATCTTGTATAAGTACGAGTTCCCATGTTTAATCCATTATGTGTTTCTAAACCCTTGGTAGTAATGCAATTCTTCTCCCTGCATTGGGTGTTTACTCTAGAACCTCTTTGTGCTCTATTTCATGGTTGTTAGAGGAGACCCCTTGTGACCTCCTTTGTTTACGTGTACGTTTTGTTTACACCCTATCGATCATTCTCTCTTTTTCCATTCTACATATACTTCCGCTGTTTGCTAGTCTTTATTCCAAGCCACCTGTTTTTCATATAAAAACCACAAACCTTATTTTTCCCACCTCAGTCGTCATCACAACTGTGTCTGACTCTGAGGTGAGGTTATTTTACTTATACTTATTTCTCTCAACACTCACACTACCTGTATTACAGTTCTGTATGTTAACAGGTAGTTTACCCAATCCAAGTCATCATCACAACTGTGTCTGACTCTGAGTTCTGTATGTTAACAATGGTAGGTGAATCTTAGATAGGATCCAAGTATAATGTCATGACATGTACTGCTGCCAGTTCCAAAGCCTTTGTCCTACTTTCAGATTTCACACATTTGCACTTTTAGTCAACTCAACCAGGTATGTTCATTGACTCTTCATATCATTGCAATTATATGTAGTGTATTCTTTAGAGATGACTTTTATAGGTAAAATTGTTAAAATCAAATTTTATACAGGCAAAATGGTTTCATCTGTATCATTGTTGCCAAGGTGGTTCAAGAATCCTGACTGGGGGGGGATGAGGAGGCTGAGGATGAGGTAGAAGACTCGGATGAAGAGCAGGAGGATGCGGCCCCATTATTGGTGGAAGGAAAGGAGCTGTGTGAGTATTTGGAGAAGCTGTGTGTCATCCACTCAGAGGCTTGTGGCATGTCAACACTGCTTTTGCAACAACAATTGTGCAAATTGAGGGCTCATCTTCATGTTGTTCAAGTGAAATCAGCCCAACAAACTACTCTCAACTCTTTTTTCAGTAGTAACCTCTCTCCCATGGATGTCGATAGCCTGTAAATATGCAGTCTTTCTAGTTTTCATCTCACTACTTAAAGGACATTTCAAAGTGTGACATTTTTGGCTGATGTCACAAATAGTCACATTTTGTGACATATTTCATCTTGCATAAATCTCACAATGCATAGAAAAAGTTGGGGACCAGCATTATGCATTGTGAGAATATCTACTGTATATACAGTGATTTTCATATTGCTTTGCAGTGTGCACAACCAATTTTTGTGAGTGCTATTTGGTTGTTGTGCTGCAACATGACATTTTTGGTCACATCCTGATTCCCGATCCCCTGTTCTTGGTTTTCTACATCCAAAAGACTTCCAGAAGCTCTTACTCACCCTATCACATCATCTATATGCAGGTTCAACACTTTGTGT